GGAGCTCGCAGGTAGCAATCCGCCACCTCGACCTCCGGGGCGAGAAAGCCCCGTTCGTAAGTGCGGATCCGACATAAGTCGGATCCTCGTAAGTCGGGGACTGCCTGTATAGCAAAATGTAGTGACATCAAATCCCCCTTTCTTTCTGTATCTGCAGCCTCACTATCAGGATTCTGATTAATCCACACTCAAAAGAGAACTTGAATATCCCCGATTACAGCTGTGAAAATTGCCCTATATTGCATCAGGTAGGAAAACTAAATGCCTTCTTAGGAAAAGGAATTCTGCTTTATCAGTCCCCTCACCCATAGGAAACTGGAAATAATTTTCCATGCAACATTGATTTAAACAGATCAGACACAAAGCATTTCCTACACACTTCCCTCAGAGGAAAAGGGCTTAGAAAGGAGATAAAGGCATCTAACTCACTTAGTAGATGGGAGCCTCTTATCTAAGATGCACCTCCTGATAAGTACTAGTAAATTATCATTTCCCTGCATTTCTTGTTCAAGAAGCCAGAGTCCTGATGAATTAATCTGGGCGAGAGTATCTGAATGGTATCTAGATGAAAAGGCTGTTTTTCATGAACATATTTTATATTTGTAAACACAGGAAGCATAATTTTCAAATCTGAGCACACGGGGTAAATAGGATTACCCAATTCTCCATTTTTGATATTCAGACAGCCATTTAGACATTTACTGTTGCACTTGTTCAATTGCAGCCCAGAACATTCTCAATGTATGCAAATTTTAAAAACTAGGCATGCATTTTACTTTTCCTCTATAAAGAGGTTTTGTGGACACAGCCAGTTTTAGATGCCCGTGAAAAATCACTAATGCAGCAGGAGGGCCTTTGCAAAAAACGAGCAAGAATTTGACTACCTGATACCAAAAGGGACCCATAAAGATCCCTTTGAATATTTTCAGCCCCCTTCAAAATATTTGTGGTGAATATTCATACTTGGTCATCTACTCTTACTTCTAAAGGTAGCACTGACATCAATGTTGGGTCAAAAGAAAATGATATTCTTAGTAAGGGTTTTTAGTAGAGCTATTTTCATCCCCAAAAGATCATGAACAGATCCATTTGTATGAACAAAACTGGAAACAGCATAAACATCTATTTGTCACCTGGTTTGCGGACAGAAATGCAATTTGTGTATCTGCAAATGAATACTCTTGTGAATTTTTTGCATGCAACTCTGGAAATGCAGCCCACTATGTCACCAAATCAGTAGCTCAGGGAAAAGAGATGGGTTGTTAGCTAATTTTAATTAGTATTCCACTTTGGGGTGTGTCACACACACAGGCATGCACACGAGCAAATACCTCCTATTTTGTTAAAGGTCTAATGATTGCTGAGAAAAGAAAAATATTTCCAGTTTGTGTCTCTCTGCAGCCTTAGCTCATTCAGGAATGTTTTAAAATCTCAGCTGTTAAGATAAAGTAAGCCTGTTGTTCTGAATGTTGGGCTACCGCTGGTTACAATTGGATGAGTTAAGGACAAAGAAGCAGCCTTAACTCTGAACATTAGCTTTTGTTTTTCTTGGCTTAAGAAATTGAGGATTTTAAAATGTATTGTTTGGATTTAATAAAAAAAAAATTGAAACTTCACTAGAAAAAGCTAACAATTCTGCATTGGTTAACTTCATGACTTCCAGCCCTTACCTGACATTGATATGTGATACATGGATTAGCTGGGGCATGCCATTTCATAGAGCTGTTGTAGCTGTTACCTTCAAAAGTGCAACCTAGAGAAAGAGAGAAGCAAGACAGTCTCTTACTTGAATGATTGTGTCATGTTCTAGAAGGGAATCTGGGTAGATTTCTGTAGATTTTCAAGCTCAAACTGCAGAAAAGCTCAAGTACAAGGAGGACAGAGCTCAAGGCCAACTGAGATCTCTCCAGCTCCAGCCAGTCATCAAAGTATGGATACATTATGATACCTCTCCTAGGCTATGTCTAGACTCCATCCCTCTTTTGAAACAGGGATGTAAATTAGACATATTGAAATCGCAAATAAAGTCAGGATTTGAATTTCCCATGCTTCATTTGCATAATTGCATCATGGCTTTCTTTCTAAAAACGCTATTTCGAAAGTGAAGTGCAGTCTAGACGTGGTTCTTTCAAAAAGAAAAGCCTTTTTTGAAAGATCCTGTACTCCTCAAAAAATGAAGTTTACAGGATCTTTCGAAAAAGGCTTTTCTTTTAGAAAGAACCATGTCTAAACCTCGGATGTGGTCAAAAGAGGGATATAGTCTAGACATAGCCTTACTAAGGTAGGCTGTAAGAACTTGGGTAAACACCTTTGGGACAACTGAGACCCAAAAGGGAAGAATGCTATTTTGATAAACGTCATGGTCCACTATGAATCTTATGTATGCCCTATATGACAGGATTATAGCTATGTTAAAGAATTCATCTTGAAGACTGAAAAAGGGGAACCAGTCCATTGACATCAATAATCCCTACTCTAGAATCATAGAATCCTTTCTGAATTTCAACTTCTTTACAAATGCATAGAGATATCTTAGGCCAGGTCTATGCTACAGACCTATGTTGGTATTACTACATTGCTCCAGGGTGTGAAAAATAAATACACTCCACTATAATTATGTCACTCAAAGGTATGGATTTAAGTGCTAAAGCAGCACAGCTGCATTACCACACTTCCCCTTAGATCCAGTTATCACCATGCTTTTTCCTTCAGGCTGAGAAGACACCTGCTACAGGAACACTTCCTCAGATATTGAGGGTGAACCTTCTTAATAGCTCTGAGAGAAAGCAGCATGAGAAACTGTTGTTAATCAGAGGCCCTTATGAGAAGGGAAGAGTAACTGGGAGTAGCCGGTGTCTGAAAATGGATAAATAAAAAAGGCATGCTTTTAAGAACACTAAGAATTGGCTGTAATTATTGAAGATCTCTTTTAAAAAAAAAGCATATCATAGAATCATAGAGTTGAAATAGACCTAAGGAGGTCATCAAGTCCAGCCTCCTGCCCAAGGCAGGGCCAATCCCAACTAAATCAACCCAGCCAGTGCTTTGTCAAGCCAAGACTTAATCACCTCTAGGGATGGAGATTCCACCACTACCCTAGGTAATGCATTCCAGTGCTTCACCACCCTCTTAGTGAAATATTTTTTCCTAATATCAAACTTAGACTTCCCCCACTGTAACTTGAGCCCATTGCTCCTTGTTCTGCCATCCATCACTACGGAGAACAGCCTCTCTCCATCCTCTTTGGAACCTCCCTTCAGGAAGTTGAAGGCTGCTATCAAATCCCCCCTCACTCTTCTCTTCTGCAGACTAAACAAACCCAAATCTCTGAGTCTCTCCTCATAGGTCATGCGCTCCAGCCCCCTAATCATTTTGGTCCTCCACTGGACCCTCTCTGATGCGTCCACATCCTTTCTATGGTGGGGGACGCTATATATAGAAACAATATTCAAGCTGCGGCCTCACCAGAGCCAAATAAAAGGGAATTATCACTTCTCTGGATCTGCTGGAAATGCTCCTCCCAATGCACCCTAATATGCCATTAGCCTTCTTGGCTACAAGGGTACACTGTTGACTCATATCCAGCTTCTCGTCCACTGTAACCCACAGGTCCTTTCTTCCTGTGCTGAACTGCTACTTAGCCCTTCATTCCCCCCAGCCTGTAACAATGCTTGGGATTCTTCCATCCCAAGTGCAGGACTCTGCACTAGTCCTTGTTGAACCTCATCAGATTTCTTTTGGCCCAATCCTCTAATCTGTCCAGGTCACTCTGGACCCTATCCCTGCCCTCCAGTGTATCTACCTCTCCCCCTAGCTTAGTGTCATCTGCAAACTTGCTGAAGGTGCAAACCATCCCCTCATCCAGGTCATTAATAAAGATGGTGAACAAAACTGATCCAAGAACTGATCCTTGGGGCACTCCGCTAGAAACTGACCGCCAACCTGACATCAAGCTATTGATCACTACCCGTTGGGCCCAATAATCTAGCCAGATTTCTATCCACTTTACAGTCCATTTATCCAATTCATACTTCCTTAACTTGCTGGCAAGAATATTGTGGGAGACCGTATAAAAATCTTTACAAAAGTCAAGATATACCACCTCCGCTGACTTCCCCATGTCGACAGGGCCAACTACCTCATCAAAGAAGCTAATCAGATTGATCAGGCATGACTTGCCCTTGGTGAATTCATGTTGACTATTTCTGATCACTTTCCACTCTTCCAAGTGCTTTAAAATGGATTCCTTGAGGATCCCCTCCATGATTTTTCCAGGGACTGAGGTAAGGCTGACCGGTCTGTAATTCCCTGGATTTTTCTTCTTCCCTTTTTTAAAGATGGGCACTACATTTGCCTTTTTCCAGTTATCTGGGATTTCTCCCGATCTCCACGACTTTTCAAAGATAATGGCCAAAGGCTCCTCAATGACATTTGCCAACTCCATCAGTACCCTCAGATGCATTAACTCTGGGCCCATAGATTTGTGTATGTTTAGTTTTTCTAAATAGGTCCTAGCTTGTTCTTTCCCCACCAACGGCTGTCCACCTCCTTCCCATACTGTTGCCTAGTGTACATTTGTCTGGGAGCTGACCTTGTCCATGAACACAGAGGCAAAGAAAGCATTGAGTACTTCAGCTTTTCCCACATTATCTGTCACTAGGTTATCTCCCTCATCCAGTAAGGGCCCCACACCTTCTCTGATCACCCTCTTATTGCTAACATGCCTGTAGAAACCTTTCTTGTTGCCCTTCACATCCCTCGCCAGCTGCAGTTCCAATTATGCTTTCACCTTCCTGATAACTCCCTTGCATTCCTGAGCAATATATTTATACTCCACCCTAGTCGTCAGTCCAAATTTCCACTTCTTGTAAGCTTCCTTTTTGTGTTTAAGCTCACCATGGATGTCCCTGGTAAGCCAATCTGGTTGCCTACCATATTTGGTTTTCTTGCTGTGCATCAGGATGGTTTCTTCCTGTGCCCATAATAAGGCTTCTTTAAAATACTGCCAATTCTCCTGGACTCCTTTCCCCTTCATATAAGCATCCCAGGTGATCCTTCCCATCAGTTCTTTGAGGGAGTCAAAGTCTGCTCTTCTGAAGTCCAGGTTGTGCATTTTGCTACTCTCCTTTCTTCCTTTGGTCAGGATCCTGAAATCTATCATCTCATGGTCACTGCTTCCCAGGTTGTCACCCACCTCTACTTCCCCTACTAATTCCTCCCTGTTTGTGAGCAGCAAGTCAAGCTGAGCATGGCCCCTGGTCGGTTCCTTCAGCACTTGTACCAAGAAGTTATTACCAACATTCTCCAAAAACTTCCTGAATTGTCTGTGTACTGCTGTATTGGTCTCCCTACAGATATCAGGGTGATTAAACTCACCCATGAGAACCAGGGCCTGTGATCTGGAAGCTTCTCTCAGTTGTCCAAAGAAAGCTTCATCTACCTGATCTGGTGGTATCATGGCTCCTTCCCTACTCTGGCACGATAAATGTAGAAGTGAGGGCCAGCAAAAGTACCCCAAAACCTTATCTACCAGGCATGGTATAAAACTTCTCCCCAAAATCTTAACCTAGATTTTGGGAATAAAATCTCCACTGCCACCACCCAAGTATTGATACAAAATTCAGGGGAAAGATCACTTGGGAAAATCTCACCCCTAAAGTACAAACCAGGAAACAACCATTAACCAATACCAGGTTAAAAAAAGGAAAGAGAAAGAACTTTTATTATCACCACAATATTCCTGTTGCAAGCATAATGACTAGAGGGAAAATTAACAAAATAATATACTCGTGGAGGAGAAATCTACCATGAATCAGGAACTTAGATACAAAGGAGAGCAAAACCCATTTTAAAATGCATAGACACCAGATCGCAATCCCCAAACCATAACACACTAAAACCTAACAGATTTATCTAAACTTTATCCTACTTCCAGACTGTGATGAGTATTTTCTTAGAGGGAGAGACATCTTGTCCCCTTCAATAGCTGGAGAAAAACTGCCCCAGAGACAAAGGAGGGAAAAACCCTAAAATTCCTTTGTCCCAGTTTGAAATTCCTACCTACATTTCTATTGGCTGCCTGCCACCTGGTTTAGGTAAGGGACATATTTAACTCCTTAGTCCCCAGGATGCTGGCTAACCCTCATGATCATGACAGGCGATTTATAGCAGACACCAACCACAACATCACCCCTGTTGCTTCCACCTGTAAATTTAACCCATAGACTCTCAACAGTCTTTTCTCCTTCTAAGCACTGGAGCTCCGAACAATCAAACTGCTCTCTTACATATAATGCAACTCCATCTCCAGGCTGCAAGAGACTCAGATTAAAAAACCAGCTCCCTGCACACACCAGATCCTGCCTGCAGCCCCGCACTGCTGCCTCCCCATGGACAGAGGCTGCCCCAGCATCCCATAGAGCAGTGGTCCCCAATGTTTTGGGGCTGCCGGGCGCCTGAGGGCGGGGCCGCTCACGAGCTGCGCATACAGGGGCGGGGCTGCTCACAGGCCACATGACTGGGGGCGGGGCCATGCATGCGCCGCACGCCCGAGGTCGGCACCGGCATGTGCCGCGATCCCGGGCAGGGGCTGCCCAGGTTCCGCGCCCCCGGGGCCTGACCCAGGCCCAGGCCCAGGCCCAGGGCCAGGGCCAGGGCTAGGGCCAGGGCCAGGGTCGGCACCGGCACACGCGGCACACCCGGGGCCGGTAAACCTCATCCCACGAGGAATAACGGGGCTGCCGACAAAGGGCT